TATTACTAAATAATATTAAATATAAATAATAATAAATGTTAAGTAATACTAATTGGTGTTATGTGATTAACTAATATATTTAAATATTAATAATAAGTTAAATAATTGTTTATTCTCTGTTATAATGTATTGATATTTATTGAAGTTTTTAATTAATAATTATAATGTTACATTTTATACCATAACAGCGGTAACAACTAAAAGAAAAATTATATAGACGAAGATTAAAGGTAACGGGGTGTGATAGATGGGAACAAGAGTGAAAATGTGATGATAACGAAGAGGATAAAAAAATAGTAACACCTTTCATAAAGTGTATATAAACAACATTCCTACCATAGCACAATTATTACCTATCAACTCACACTTCACAGATGTAAACCTTCTTGGAACAGGATTTCTAAAACAATTTGATGCAAAATTAACCATGAATTTTGAAAACAAATATATTTTTTTATCATTTGGCTCTTTTAACATTACAACTCAAAATAAATTTGGCTCTTTTAACATTACAACTCTAAATGAAGAACAAAAATTTTCTCAACTATACTATATTTTAGGTGGAATAGGTGGAATAATTGGATTCAGTTTATTTTGTTTAGCTTTGTTTTTTATTTTAAAAGAGAAGGCTTCATTAGTCATTTTATTCTTATTATTCTCACACTAATTTGATTTAAAAAATTCTTCATCTTCCCATTTTACTGTAATATGCTTATTATAATATAATATATATTAATCCTGTCTTTTAATAAATCCACAATTATTTCAATAACTTTTTTTACCCCTTTTCGAATTAATTCAATATCTTCCTTTACTATATAATTATCCAACCATGACATCAATGTCATGATCTCGGAGTTTGGACTTTTTTTACATGCTGTATTGTAAAATGAGATAAATGTAACGCTTATCAATTAATAAAGTTATATGACAATGTTTCGTGAGTAATCTGGATTCAAGAACTTGTCCAAAAATCATTTCTTCTTCAGGGAATATTTCTACCTCATTCCAAAGATTTTCAAATCGTTGCCACACCAATTCTGGTAAATTAATTTTGGGTTGTGTATTTGCCATTGTTTTATATAAGATACGTATACATATGAAATCACGTGCACGTGGAGATTTTTCACGATTGGATAATCAATTATACCAATTATACCAATTATACGTCTTATTTTTGTATTTTGTGAATTAACCCACAAAATTCACTATCGGATTTTCTGTTGAACAACCTTTCGTTATCTTATATACTTTGCACATTATGAAAGTAAATTACATACAACTTCCGTAACTCTATGTTGTTCTCCCGTTAAAATTAACTAACCCGTACAATTAAGTTTTCAGAATTCGTTTAATATGGCGGAAAATAGCAAACTTCATCTTGAGGATGCTTTCCGTCATAAATTCATAAAATTTATTTCGTACTCCGAACTCGAAAATTTGACTCGAGTCGACAGTGGCAAATTTGGAAGTATCCATACTGCGTACTGGCATAAATTAAGAAAGATAGTTGCTGTCAAAAGGTTACATTCTTTTGCGCAAAATGATACAGCTATTCAAAACTTTGTTCACGAAGTGAGTACTAATGCACTATTATGTTTAAACTTTACCTCCAAAAAAAAAATTCTATTGCTTATTTTTTACTGTTTGCCATGGGTATTTAGCTACAAATTCAAAAGCGCGTGGAATATCATGATCGAATGATCCGAATCTTTGGTGTCAGTCAAGGTGAATTTATTATTTTTGCGAAAGTTCTTACGCCTAATGATGGTTGGTTTACAAATATTTATATTTCGCTTACTATTCTTCAATTCAGATCCATCCAATAGAGACTATTTACTCATCCTCCAATATGCTGATGGTGGAAATTTAAGGAATTATTTTGCTCAAAATTATTCAACTCTCACATGGAATGACAAGTTCAGAATTTCCCATGGGATCATTGACGCTCTTAGGTGTCTTCATGATGAAGATATCGTTCATCGTGATCTTGTAAGCATTGTTTAAAGACTTGTTTGTAGGTATATTTACTTGTCACATCCAATTTAATTTGGCTATTAACTTGCCTATTAATTTGTTATTTTGTGCGTATAGCATTCAAAAAATATTTTAATCGATCAAGGTGAACCGAAAATTGCCGATTTTGGTATTTCTGGAAGCCTTAACACCACAACGAATTTGGATAATGGCGTCTTTGGAATAATTCCATACATTGAACCTAAGCGCCTTGCGAATCCAAACCATCCACATGACAAGGCGTCCGACGTATATAGTCTTGGGGTAATTCTATGGGAAATATCGAGTGGTCAACCTCCCTTTAAAGATTTGCCACATGACGCTGCATTGGCACTGTCTATATGTGATGGGGTGCGAGAAACTCCAATTGTTGGTACACCACAAGAATATAAATTACTTTATCAACAATGCTGGAACCCGACTCCACATATCCGGCCATCTGTTGATGATGTTCTGCAATCAATTGAAAGGATAATCAAACAAGCAGAAAATTTTATGAATGATGTGGAAGGTAAGTTAAATTATAAATTATATGTGCAAAAATAGGAAAAATCACGACTCACTATTATATATCTTTCTAATGTAATGGTAAAAGAAGCTCCTTCACCCGAAATGAGTGCTATACCTCCTGATCAACATGTGAAAGGTATTGTGAACCATTCTTTTTTTCTTTTATATTAACTGCAGTATGTTAATAGTTTTTTTTTTAAATCAATTATCAGCAACAGATCAAACCGTACAGTATAACTTAATAATACCTGACAATACTGAAACATTAGCAGATAGTTTTGGTAATCAAGATTTAATAATCACTGAACAGTCTCAGCAATCACTAAAAATCAATCTGCCATCGACTTCTGGATCTTCTATCTTACCTGCTTCATCTAATGATAATGACAACCAAAGCTCACAAAATCCAAGTTTCATAAAAGATCCCTTGCCAAGGATATCACGTAAAACTGATATTGATAAGATTAATGTAAAAGTTGTAATTGTTGGTGATGGTGCAGCTGGCAAATCATGTTTCTTATTTATGTATTCGCATGGTCACTTTCCAGAAGTGTATGTGCCTACGGTCTTTGAAAACTATTGTGTAGATTTTAAAATTGATGGTCAACCTGTTGTATTAGGATTGTGGGACACGGCCGGTCAAGAAAATTATGACAATTTAAGACCATTATCATATCCAGGTTCTGACGTAGCAATTATTGTATTTGCTATTGATAATCCTGATAGTTTGGATAACGTGTATGAAAAATGGATAAGTGAAGTCAAACACTTTCTTCCAAAAATTCCAATTTTTTTAGTTGGGACTAAATTAGATTTGAGGGATGACATGAAAACCATTGAGGAATTGAAAAAGGTCAGCAAGAAACCAGTAACTTATGAAGAGGGGTTTCAAGCTGCAGAACATATAAATGCAAAAAATTATTTCGAGTGTTCAGCATTAACTGGTGAGGGTTTGAATGAGGCGTTTGAACAAATCATTCGTGCTGGACTTTGGTATACTTTGAATCAGAAGAAGAAAAAAAAAAAACTTAAATGTATTGTCTTATAAAAGTTTGTTTCAAGGACAATTTTATAATTAGACTTATTATGATATGATTATGATAAGCCATTGTGTATTTTGCGTATTGAGATAACAGAAAGAATGTGCAAAAGGTCTTTATTGAGCATATTTTCAAGTTCATATTCATTAATAATTATAGCTAATTAGCAAGCAGGCAAGAACGCAAGCACAGTAAATTATCCAATTTTTATGATTTAAAAGATCTGGTTATTTATTTTTTTTTTACTTTATCATTCTTTAGCATTTTGTAATATTTTTATAGAATGTAATTATTATTATAGTTTTGGGATTTTTTTATTTTACATCAATAAATTAGAATTAAAATTATTTTGTATAAAAAAAAATTCAGAAATACAAATATTGGGGAATTTTCGGCATTCTTAACAGTATCCACAGAAGTTTTTCAACTTAAGGCCCTTGTTCCTACAAAATAAAATCATTAAAGAAATTCTACTGGTGCAATAAAGAGATTTTAACATTTCCACTTCGAGCGTTTACACATATATTTCACCATATATGTCTTGAATTGTATATAATGGAAGCAGAATCTCACTACCCAGGTGTTCCATATGTCCAATGTACATTAAAATAACTAGAGAGGAATATTCACTTGTTTCTGGTGTTTCTCGTATAGTACCTGAAAGTCGTGATAATGAAAAAGTGTCTCAACAAGATTATATTATAACAGGCTAGATAAATGTTGAGATGAAATTATCAATTGAGAGAATCTCTACAAGTTGCACATGAAAATATTACAGAAGGTGAGTTAGTATATGACGAGTTAAAACAAAAATTGCATATCTTACATGTTGCATGGCGAGCTTGCAATTTAAGATAGGCACAAATTTTGGATATAGAATTTAATACAGCAAGAACAGCTTGGAGAAATCAAAGAAATAGAAATCAACATATACTTGGGAATTACAAAATTGTCAGGAACATGGTAGGAATTTACAAAATGATAAGGTTTTTATTGAGTTTTGGTATGAGCGAATTATCCCAGGTATAAGAAGTGGAAAATAAGATCAAAAATGAATGCCAAATAATTATTAATTTACAGCAACAAATTTTTGCATTACAAAATAACCTATTTTGAAATTCACTCAATATGGCTATCTTACAAGATGTTATATTATTTTTAGTACCAATGATTGCTCAAATTCTAATGTATATTGGATAGGAATCTTCAATAGAATAAATAGAATATTACCACAAATTTATGCAGGTATTTCAATATGGTAATACATTAGGTATTGCAGGATTTAATGATGTAGTAAAAACATGAATGTTATCATCTAGATTAGCTGAAAGATTCATATCACCTGATCCATTTCAAAATAACATGGGTAATTAAGTAAATACACCAACACTTTTTCTTAATTAGTTAAAGGATAATTAATGAGAAGTAATAATAGGAACTAGTTAAGCATCTATGAAAGTGCTTATAAATGAAAAAATTCTTATTGATATATATGATAAAAAATTATATAATAAAAATACGAAATATCTATATATGAAAAAATACAAAATAAAATCTATATCTACACTTCCTATACATATTTAATATTAATTATGTAATGGTGATAAAACAGTAGGACTTAATTGTGGATTCCATGACAGGTTAGATATAGCTTATTCTAATGTCTACATCAGTAAGCTTTTGTTTACAGTCATAATATTTCTTAAAGTTAATAATAAATGAACAAGAGATCTAGTGTGTAATGTGTAAAGCTCCCCATAGGCCAAGCCCAGTCAAGCCCTATAGGACTTGAGCCTGGTCAAGCTCAAAAAACTTAGGCTTAGGTTGAGCCTAAATTTAAAAATTGAGTTCAGGCCAAGCAAAGCCTATATAATTTGAGCTTGACTTGACTTTTGAGCTTTCAAGCCTTAATATGAATTCTCAAGCTTTAACATAAGCTCTCGAGCCTTAATATAGACTCTCAAGCTTTAATATGGGTTCTCAAGTTTTAATATGAACTCTCGAGTCTTAATATGGGCTCTTGAGCTTTAATATGAACTCTCAAGCCTTAATATGGATTCTCAAGCCTTAACATGAACTCTCAAGTCTTAATATAAGCTCTCAAGTCTTAATATAAACTTACCTTGATATAATTTGTCTAATACAAATATGAACTCATAAACCTTGATGAAAACTCTTAAATTTTAATATAAACTTTATAAGTTTTAATGTGAATTTACAAATTTTAATATATTTAATTAAATAAAGAACTAAACAAAAATTAAAAAATTATTTATAAAATCAAAAGAATTAAATTTTTATTATCATTTTTGAAAATTAATGAAATTTATATAATAAATATATTATATTTAATATTATATAGAATATAATAATAAAAAAATTATCATATTTAATTTTTTGTATTTTTTTATATTTGAAAAAAAAAAATTAAAATTAATTTTCTAAATTTTTTATATTAATTTCTCCAAGATCAAATTTTAATTAACTTTTGAGACATATTACTTCATGAATTGTTTTTCCTTATAAACTACATCTTTTTTGAACAACCAAATCTGTTCCTCCAGAAAAAATTCTTTCTAGAGGTGCACTAGTAGCAGGAATAACTAAATAATCTTTAGCCATTTTACTAAGATAAGGAAATTGTATTTCATGACTCTGAAATAATATAATTAAAATTAATAAAAAACAATATATTATATAAATTTAATTAATAATTAATTTAATAAACATACCTTCTACCATGATAATACATCTGTTATAAAAGATATAACTCCTTCCTTTAAAAATCTTTTTTAATTCATCACTTGATTCTATTTTTTGTTTTTTGAAAACATGAGCAAGAAGTTCATCTGCTTTATTTAGTTTAACTATAATTTCATTGTTGTTTTTATAGTAATTTTCCCAAATATTGGTTACAGTTCCTTTTGCAGCATCAATATAAAATTGCTCCCATTCCTTATCATGATAATATTGTAGTTTTAATCTAAGATCTAGAACTTTAATTGAATAGCAAAATATTAATAATAAGTAAATAATAAATAATTAATAAAATTAAAAATGTAAATGTATAAATAAAATATATTTACCTGTAGCAACTATATACACATTACCATCAGTAGTAGGATAATATGATTTAATTTTTTTCTCTGCAGATCTGATTACTCTTTTAATTGTAAGATTTGAATTGTTATCAATTTCTTCTTCCAATCTATCCAATAAATAATTATAGACAGGTACAGAAAAAGATAAAGTAGGATATTTTTGACCAG